AACAGGACGAGCACAGATACAAGTCCATTATCTGAGGCCATGAGAATATCATTAGTGACTTTCACCAGAGCTGTTTCAGTGCTATGATGAGCTCTAAAGCCAGACTGAAACTCTTCAAAATCTCCCACATCCCTGGAACTGTCTCCAGGGTCAGACTAAGGGGGAAGAGGTGCTGTAGATCCAGGTCCTGCTGACACCATCAGGACCTGCTGGAGGTGGTTTTCCAGCCTCTTCCTCTATACCTCCTTGCTTCCTCTGATCTTCACCTTAAGTTGCTTCTCCAAACTCCTCATTAATTCCCCGTCTTCCTTCTCAAAGGCCTTTTTTTCTGGTTTCGCTCTTCGTTCAGATCACTGCTGATCCAGGCTTTATCACTGCAGTCGCATCTCACTGTTGCTGTGGGACAGTATGATCTTAAAATGTTTGGCAAATGCTGAATATAAGTGTTAAATCTATGTCAATATTCTATAATATCTAAATCTATATCTAGGTCGAAGGTCTTCAACTGGGGATTTGCGACCCCTAGGGGATGAACATAGGTACTGCATGGGGGTCGCTAAATACTTTTTTTATATTCCCTCCTGCTATTTTTCCACTAATTGAAATGTCTTTAAATCCACGTTAACATGAATTCAACACACTGTAGTAAACAGATAAATGGAGGCAGAAGATGTCTTTCAGTCATCAATGCTCACATTCAGAGACACACAGGAGCTCTTTAAGCTGGGCACCGTTTCATTCACAACACCTGTCCCATCAACCAGGAATCAGAAATACTTTAATAATCCCAGGGAGGGATTACTTTAGTTACATTACTCCATCTGTAATAGAGTGACTACAGCACCAGTTTGATAGAACACTATTTCATACAATATATATAATTAAGGGGTCCCTGCTCCATCTCTCCATCAGTTTGGGGTCCTTGGCCTGGAAAATGTTGAAGAGCCCTGAATTAGATCATAAATATAGATATAAATGATAAAATAATAACTAAATCTTAACATTATACCCAAATCTAAAATCCTTTTTTCATCAGTCTGCAATTTTATTTTATTTTTATTACAACAAACTAAACATCAATCACTCTCAGACACTAATACCAAGTTCCTGTTCAATCAGTGCTTTAAGCAAACAATATAAAGGCCAGTCAGCGTTTCTTTAACCTACTGCTCCATATTTGGTGGTTGGACGGTTTTAAATTTCATGCAGTTATTGGACCTCAGGCGACAATATTTTCCTTTTCTTATTTTAAATTTCTCTTCCTTTTCTGCTACTGTGGGCCTTTATGAACGTCAGATTGTTCTTCACTTCAGTAAATGACCCTGCCAATGATGGCGGTCCGCCTGTGTGTAAATGAGGTGCAGATCTGCATAATTGCCGCCCCAATGATTCCATATAAGGCTATGAGTTCCTCTATGCATGAACTGTTCATTCACAGGAATGTCTCTGAACTTTAGAGGGTGAAGGATCTGCTGACTGAGAGCTGATCTGGAGGAGAATTAGTTTCTACCTGAGAGACGATCACAGACAGGAGGAAGATGGAGGATGAGGTGTTTGATCCTGAATCATTCTATGACCCATTTAGGAATTCATTTTTCAGTATAAATGGTTCTTGTATGAGAACCTTGTATGTTTTTGCTTTTTTATGCAAGATACAAATATCTATGAACACTTTTGTTTTAATATGACTTCACATTTTCAAATATAGGTGTAAAAAAGAAACGTTTTCATTTCAGTTCTACACTTTGAAATAAGGTTTTCCAAACAATATGTAGTCTGAACTACCTGCATAGAACCATGGATGCTCTCCATCCCTTTAAAGCTCATTCGTTTTCAAACACTCTTGATTCCAGATATTGGGGTCAATATTGACAAAGTTCTTGGTTCTTAATGTCACAGCTTAGTCATATATTTTAGCATTGTTTTTTTAATCTTCTTTAAGAAAATTATTCTGTGTCAGAGAAACTGCAATGAAGGGCTTAAAGTATTACTTTCAATATCTGCCCACTAGGGGGCGTGCTTTATATCAAACTATACCCTATGGATCTGCTGCCCAGTGAAGAAGCCCAGTTTATAAGAAAGTTTTAATTAAGTTAAGGATTTATTTTACTCTAGATTTCTGGAGGATTAGGTAACTTTATAGAAATGATTCAGTCAGTCGATTGCATCTAGTCATTGACTTGCAGGACCTTCCATCACACTGAGCATGCAGGACCTTCCATCACACTGAGCATGCAGGACCTTCCATCACACTGAGCATGCAGGACCTTCCATCA